CGCTCACTTCAGCTGAGAAGAACTATAGTCAAATCGAAAAAGAAGGTCTTGCACTCATCTTCGCTGTTCACAAGTTCCACAAGATGATTTACAGACGACCTTTCACGCTTCTCACAGATCACAAACCTCTCCTTGCCATCTTCGGCAACAAGAAAGGTATTCCGACACACACAGCCAACCATTTGCAATGCTGGGCAACAACACTTCCTGGATACAACTTCAAGATCAAATACCAGAAAACTACCAAATTCGGGCAAGCCGATGCTTTGTCACACCTCATCTCTGCTCAACCATTATAGGATGAAGAAACAGTCGTGGCAACTATCCAAGCCAACTTGGACCTTACAGCCTTGTCGTCCCAACTACCTATAACCTTCGAAAAACTGTGCAAGCAAACAAAGAAGGATCAACTCCTTCAAACAATCAGGCAGTATATTACTTCAAAGTGGCTGAATGTCGACAAGCTTCGAGAGTCATACAACCGGGCTCAAATCCAACAATTCTATTGTCGACACAACAGACTCAGCATCGAAAAGGGATGTCTCATCTATAATGAACGCATTATCATCACCACACTTCTCCAACGTAGGGTACTCAAACTCCTACATCGTGGACATCTCGGTATCTGGCGTATGAAATCCCTAGCCCATAACTACATTTATTGGCCGAACATAGACCTCAACATTGAGTCAACCGTGCGACAGTGCTCTCCGTGTATCTCAGCAGCCAAACTATTCTCTTGGCCGAAACCTGCTACCCCGTGGCAGCATATCTACATCGACTATGCAGGACCATTCCAGAGCCAAAGTTTTCTTGTCGTTGTGGATGCCTATTCGAAGTATCCGGAAATTATAAGCATGGAAAAGACTACGTCCCTCGCAACGATCAGCGTGCTGCAGAAATTCCTCATTTGTCACAGACTGCCGGAAGTTCTCGTCAGTGATAACAGAGCGCAGTTCACCTCGTACGAATTTAAAAGATTCTGTGACCAACATGGAATTAAACACATCTTTTCGGCGCCCTATCATCCTCAATCCAACAGACAGGTGGAACGATTCGTAGACATGCTGAAGTGAGCTTTCCTTAAGTTAAAAGGAGAGGGAAATATACAACATGCTTTGTACATATTTCTGGAGACTTATCGGATAACTCTGAACTCGGCTCTACTGGACAGCAAATCTCCAGCCGAACTCTTCTTCAGATGGAAGATCCAAACATCACACGACCTATTAATGCCACCAAAATATTCAACAGAGCACGACATCAAAATGGAGAGGCAATTTAACTGCAAGCAGGGAGCCCAAGAGCAAAATTTCACTACTAAAGAGCTCGTCTTCACACGACACCAACGCTCTCAAAATTGGCAGCCGGGAACAATTAAATGCAAAACCGGAAACACTGTATACAAGGTGGAAATGGCTGACGGATCAACTCAGCATTTTCACACCAATCAGCTCTTACAGAGACAATCCTTAACCGCAGCCCAAGAATGACACCCTCGCCATCATCACAGAAGCCTTCTCCATCCCTTTACGTCCTGCTCCGACTCCAGACTTACACATCCAGTTGAGAGACCAGCCCAGCAGGACAATGAGTCCCCGTCGTTCAAGAGACCATGCACCATCAAAGAAATGCCGCCCGAGATAGTAACACCACAGGCTCCGCGTCGATCAGCCCATATTTGAATCCCGACGGGATGGCTTCAAATCAACCCTTATCAAAAAAACTATTATGCAGCATAAACCGCCAATTCGACCAGTTGTTTTCTTTCTTAAAAGGGGAGGTGTTGGGTTGGGTGTTTTCCACGTGTGAAAACCTAACAACCAGGGTTCAATTTGGAACCGATCAGGTTACACCTACATGTGGGCATGTGATTCGGGGATGTCTTTTTGTTCAGGGCAGTTAGACGAGCAGGACGTGATCGGTGTCCAGTCTGACCGTTATAACCATTTCTTTATCGTTTAACGCGATCTACAATTAGAGATCTTACACTGCTAAGAACCTAACAGTAATCATGTCTACTTTTGTGCCAGAAAAAGAGCATATGCGGCAAGCTTTGCTTTTCTGCTTCAGTTTGAAAAAATCGGCTGCCGAAGCACATCAAATGCTTGTGGAGGCCTATGGTGACAGTGCTTTATCGGAAACCACATGCAGAGATTGGTTTTGTCAGTTCAAAGACAGAAATTTTGAATTTGAGCAACAAGAAGCATGAAAATCGGCCCAGGAAGGTTGAGAATCAACTGCAGGCTCTTTTGGATGAGGGCACTACCCAATTGCAAAAAATGCTTGCCGAGCAATTGGGTGTTACTCAACCAGCCATTTCCATGTGTCTACATGCCATGGGAAAAATTCAGAAGATCGGAAAATAGGTGCCACATGAATTGAACGATAGGCAAGTGGAGCGACACCAAAACACATGCAAAATCTTGCTCGCCAGACAAAAAAGAAAGTTGTTTCTGCATTGGATTGTAACTGGTGATGAGAAATGGAAATTTTGAGAATCCTAAACACAAGAAATCATGGGTTGATCCAGGCAAACCATCAACATCTTCCCCAAGACCAAATTGCTTTGGACGGAAGACAATGCTGTGAATTTGGTGGGATCAGAAGGGTATTGTCTACTATGAACTGTTGAAACGTGGTGAAACTGTCAATGCCTACCATTACCACCAACAACTAATCAAATTGCACTGTGCTCTGCATGAAAAAAGGCCGGATTATCAGCAAAGACACGACAATCTGATTTTCATCCATGACAATGCACCATCGCACATGTCAACATTGGTCTGAAACTAATTGGAGACACTCAACTGGGAGGTGCTACCCCATCCCGCTTATTCACTAGACCTGGCCCCTTCTGACTATCACCTGTTTTCATCGATGGGCCACGTGCTCGCTGAACGGCACTTCGATTCTTATGAAGACGTCCGAAAATGGCTTGATGAGTGGTTTGCCTCGAAAGAGAAGGAATTTTTTTGGCATAGTATCCACACATTGCCAAAGAGATGGAAAAATTGTGTCTCTAGTGAGGGAAAGTACTTTGAATAAATTTGTTTTTGCTTTCTAAAAAAAAAAAAAGTGTGTTTTTCTGACTAAAAAGCAGCGGATTTAAGCTTATACACCTGGTAGAACTTATTACTGCTGCTTCTTTGTGTCTGGTTGATTACACCAGTATAATAAGTTCTATTATTGCAAGTGTAGTAGATGAAATATGAGTTTTAACTGAAAATATTCTAAATTTTATTATTAAAAAAAAGCAGATGAATCTGTATGAGATGTGATCATCTTCAATTGTTGACAGAGAAAGAGAAGTTCAGTAATAATTGGAAACCCAAGTCACATAGATGAAGACTGAAAGAATCACATGTATGGAATATCAATGGAATTCAATTATACCAATAATCTGATGATAAATGCTAAAATGTATTCTCTCTCTTTCTATAATCATAGAAAAAGCAATGATTTTTATCAATTAGATACTAACACAATACTAAAACATTTTATACATGCTGAAGATACTGATGAAATAACTGAATGCTTGCTGATGAAATGATGCAACCGAAATTTGTTTTGCTCCATTACTATAATTCAGTTGTTTTTTCTATTATTATTTTTTGTTTTTTTATATAAACACTGATTCTCTGAAATTTTGCTGAAGTTATCCTTATAGTTCTTAGTACAATTTACTCTTTAATTGATTTAAACTATCTGAAGAAAGTTAGATTAAAAAAAATAATAATAATGATAATAATTAGTTATCATTTAGATACCTTCTATTAATTAATTTATTTAGATTAATATTATCATGAATAAAGCTTGCTGGTTTTTAAAGTAATATAATTCATTTTAAACTTGTACCTAAAATGCAAAATTTAAGATGTATTTTAACAGTTTCATTATATAAATGAAGTAAAATAACTTCTTAATGTAGAAGACGTGGTTGCTATATCTTCAAATCTGATGTGTAGCGTCTTTGTAATCCAAACGATAATTTTGGTAGACGATCACAACACAGCAATTAGTTAGAAAAACTTAATGGTTTATTTAAAAGAACACTTTTTTAAAATTCAGATGCATTTCGGGTTGGCTTGTATTCCCAACCCCTCTTCAGTGCTGTTAAAATTACAAAAAACAAGGTGAGTATCACGACATTAGTAAGTAGGGTTTAACATAAATGCGGGTTGACAATAACATAAAAACCTTACATGTTATATAATGGTACAGCAAAGACATGTGTGACAATATTTTTATTATATAGTTGTATGACTATTTCCTATAATATGAAAAAAGTAAAGGGCGTGGTTTTTTAACACATCATTTACATGAAAAATATATATAACATAGATTATTAATTTTGAAATATCTATAAACACTTACATTTTTAGTTAAATTGTATTATTCCTGATAAAAATGGAACAGAGTACAAATTGACAACGGGTGTTATCCGGTGTTCACCAAGTAACAGTATATCGACAAGTGATGTTATTTAAACCATTCCTAACATTCCGTACAAGGGGGTGTGCTTTAAACAATATTTAACGCATGGAGGCGCTCTCTATTAGTTTATACGATTGGGGGGTCTATTGATATGCCTTCTGAAATATTAATTAAGTTATCTTTAGGGTGTTTTTTGATTTCTGTGTGTTCTTTAAATTTCATTTTATATGGGTCTTTTTCTAAATGTAACACTTTTATATTGTTTTTTTTAATTTGGCAATTATTGTTATTTGTGTGGTAGTACCAGGGGGAAGTGTTATGTTTAAGGCGGATGGCAGCTTCATGTTCTTTAATTCTGGTTTCTAGTAACCGGTCTGTTTCATCGATGTAAGTTTTCAGATTTTGACAGTTGCATTCAAGTTTGTAAACAGTTCCAACAGATTTTAGAATGTGAGGTTTCTTGTTATGTTGTTTATTAATGTATATAATGGATACTATGAGATATTTTGTTGTTCAAAGATGGTGCCAAACTGATAATGTCTTTGTTTAGGATCTTATTACAGCCCTTGAAAATGTTTTTGATATATGGGAAGGTTTTGTACTTTTTGTTTAATTTATATTTCGTATTAAACCTATTTTTCCAGTATTGTTTTTGCCATGTGTTTAATTTAACCGTTAAAATAAACTGTTAAGTTTTTCTAACTAATTGCTGCGTGATCATCTACCAAAATTCTCGTTTGGATTACAAAGACGCTACATATCAGAAGTAAAATGAATTTGTAATAGAATTTACTATTTATTTACAACCAGTCGAAAGGCCCGATGCAGGCATCGGGGCATACTAAATTGTGTAAAAAAAAAAAAAAGCCTCACACAAGAACTCTGGCAATTCTTAGGTTTGCCGTTACGCTTTTCTCACACTCAATACACCAACAGAGACCACCCATTTTTTTCAGTTTTTGTATAGCAGATACATAACTATTATTAATTTATTTTTTCATCAATCGATACCAGTCAATTTATCAAAAATAAACTATCTAAATATATAAAATTACTTGTCCTGAGTCACTGATTCATTATCGTCCAGAGCAAACCGCTGAATCTAAAGAGGTGAAATTTGGTACACAGGGTACATCATGGAAACACACACTAAGAAGGAATTTTTTGAATTTCCCAAGCGGGGGAAGAGGGAGAGCATTAAGGCTTAACCAGAAGAACAGCTTCTACTGTACTATTTTAGATGCAATTTTTTGTTTTCAATTACATTTAGTCTTCATTAAGTACTTAGGTGTATTATAACATTTCAGACATTGTTTGTTATAAATATTTTTATATATTTTGATTTTTTAACCAAATGTTCGAACCGTTTGAAATTCGAATTTGTTATTGCATATTGGTTCGATTATAGAACGATTGTAAACATTCCAGAAAATTGATCAAATTGAAAATAGTTCATTTCATTCGCAGCAATTCTCATTATTCTCAGCAGTGTTTTATAACAATTGCTATAGTTGTTGAAATACTGAATATAAATGGGGTTTGCTTGCAAAACCTCCGCGGGTGAAGTCACCGGTAACAGCTAATTTAATTATATTCTTTAAAATTTACAGGGTTATAAACCTCCAGATGAAGGACCATCTGAATATCAGACTATTCCACTCAATAAAATTGAAGATTTTGGTGTACACTGTAAACAGTATTATGCATTAGAAGTTTCATATTTCAAGTCAATTTTGGATTGCAGACTCTTGGATTCTCTGTGGAATAAATATTGGGTTAATACTCTTAGCTCATCTAGTCTTCTCACGGTAAATATCTTTAAATTACTTCTGTGTGTATTACAAGGTCTGTTCAAAAAGTATCGGACCTTTTTTTTCCGCGTAAACCAATGATGCATGAGAGGCCTCCTTCGGTGGAGTTGTGGAGGGGACAGTCATGCACAGCCCTGAATTTTTTCCCGCCTGCAGGAAGCGTCAGTCGTTGGCAATCGGCCTATGAGTGAGGTCATGTAGTGCGCTCTCGTCGGATTCCACTAAGCTGGAAAATGACTGAACAACGTGAGCAGCGATATTACATCAAATTTTGCCAAAAACCTTGGCGATACCCGAGTGTAAACCATTCACAAGATTCAGCAGGCTTTCGGGGATGATCCTCGAGGCCAAAAAAAGCGCGGCAGGTCCGCAGCAATATCAAAAATCATGTTGACAGTTTTTTCGACTCTCGTGGGGTGGTGTGTCATGAGTACGCACCACAAGGCCAAACCATTGCAAAGGAGTACTACCAAGAGGTCCTTCGTCGTCTTTCGATACAGTGTGACGCAAACAACCGGATCTGTAGTCGATCAAAACTTGGTAGCTCCATCGTGATAACGCATCTGCCCATTCTGCGCATCTGATTCGGGCTTTCGTTGCCAAACACAATACTCCTGTGGTTTGTCACGCTCAGTACTTGCTCCACATGGCTCCGTGTGACCTTTGGCTATTTCCCAAGCTGAAAATGTTGCTAAAAGGAACCCGAATTTAGTCGAGAGAAGACATCATGCGGAATCCGACGGACCAGCTGAAGGCCATTCCAAAAGATGCGTTCCAGCAGTGTTTCCAGCAATGGCAGGAACGCTGGGAGAAGTGTATACATTACCAAGGAGACTACTTTGAAGGGGATTAGGGTTTTGTACCTCAAAGTCAATAAATTTATTTTTGCTGACCAAAGGTCCGATACTTTTTGAACAGACCTTGTATAATGAATTTTCACAACTTTAGAATTACAATATGTACAGCATATACTTGTCCAATTGATTCAAACCAGAACTTTATGGAAATGAAATTTGATCAAGATTTTTTTTAGTGAGGGATCCCACTGAAAATAGTTGCTCTGTGATTTGATTCTGTCCACCAGAAGTGGCCAGACTCTCACATTCTACTAGTGACTTATATGACTGAACTAATTTTTAATCTTTTATTACCAGAATGCTGACTATACTACTGGCCAAGTGTTTGATCTCTCGGATAAATTGGAGCAATCCGAATCACAGCTTGGACGGGGTGGATTCGTCTTGGGAATTGATCCCCATGAGAAGAGAAGTGAAGACAAATTGGCCAAAGCTACAAAAGACAGTTGCAAGACAACCATAGAGGCCATTCATGGTCTTATGTCTCAAGTAATCAAGGATAGACTTTTTAATCAGATTAACTTTAAATAAAATTTAAAACTATGTATTAACATTTGCTTTGTATAATTCATTTAAATATGTATGATTAAAATGTAATTTAATATTAATTAAATATCTTGTGTATGGGGTTCTGCACACAAATTTATTATCAATTAGATAAATTTCTCATTTCAGATGTAGTAATAGCATCAGTGTATCCAAAGATGGGAATAATTGTGACCTCTTAAGAATTACAATGTTAGAAATTGATGTTCATCAAATACATATTTTTATTCGTATAAGTTTATTTTTTGGAAACTTTTTATACTAGTAAAAATCAAAACATACATAGTGTCTCTATTCAATGTTATCTGGAGAGTTATTAACTTTGGTTGCATTTTGACCACTAAATAAGATGACATTTCAGAACATGCAGAAAGAATTTCCATTAAAAAAATTACTACTAAAATTCACTACCATGGAACTTATCATGCTGAGAGCACCAAAATAAAATGTATCAAATGCATATGCATTGTTTACATAATTTTCAGGTATAAAACTGTCCATGACATATAGAAATCAATGCATATTACAGTAAATAAATGCCTCCAACGAGGTCATTACCATTGTGGCTGATGTTGTGAAACTATTTTATAAAAACAATGGTAAAGCTACAAGTGCAGAGATTCTGATGCCTTTAGAAATTGTGCTAAAGAACTTTGGCACTGCCTACAGTACCACTAGTCCTATAATGATCACTTTTGTAAAAATGAAAAAACAATTCTAAATGTGTCTTCATGTCCTGAAATGTCATCATATCAAATTTCGACTCCCTCTAAACAGCATTGAATAAATATGCTTTAATTACAATCACCCAGTACAATATTATGAAAGAAACAAGAAATTTTGCTAGTTATACAGTCTTGTGCACAGAAAATTTCAATGTTTATAAAAAGGCATCATTCATAAAATTATAAACAAACAGACCAACTAAATGTTTATGAAACAAGTTGATTTTTTTTTCTTTCTAATTGACTGTGGCCACAAGAAATTTTTTAAATTTAAATATTTGTCATATAGCCCTTAAATAGTTTCAAAAAGATGACAATCAATTTTTCTCCAAGAGATACATGAGCAGTGGCATGCTGTCCTTTGAAGTGGTGGAAGCGCCACTTCCCTTGTATTTTCTAAACTATAAAGACATATTGCGCAATTATTTTTATATTTTAACATACTTTGAATTAATGAAAATTAATTTTATTATAACCGCATTATGTACCTTATTACAAATTTTTATACTAAATGTGAAAAAAACGATAAGATTGCTATTGTATATTCAAATATCAGTAGCAGAATGGAAGCGCTGTATTGTCGAATATGGGACAGCTTCCAAGCAGCCAGATTATATGCATTTGCACATATGCTTTACAGAGCATCAACCTCATGCGGTTTAGTCACTGGAAGCTACATACCAAAATATCGTATAATGCTTCCAATGATTCTATCCAGGACCGGTTCTGGGCTGTTAGCTGCCTGCCTGCTAGATATTTGGCTGCCCTCGCCCCATTATGTGAATCACAAGTAGATTTATAACTTAACCCAACCTATAGGAGTTTATGGTATGTTTCTATGATAGTTCTGTATAGCTGACAGTTTTGAAAAATCCATTAAAATATTTGATATTTTTATTCTGCTCTCCCATCTTATATTACTTAGGAATTTCAATGTTAAACCAGTGATATTACGATTTCATATGTCCCATCTATAAGGGGATGCACAAAAAAACGTGTACAATTCTTGTACAATGTTAAAAAATTAACCGTTACTTTGGTAGCATCATTTACAACTAAATTTAATTATCGAGAGAGATGCAAGAGGTATAGAAAAAGCTCTAGAATTTAATTTCCTTAAATTTACGATTTATGTATCCGTTGTCATAAAAATTTGTCTTTCCACTTTTTTCCCGAGACTACAAATATTCGAGTACAAAGTAACCGGTTTCGACTTATTTGTACTTAAGAAGTAGTTAAATAATTAAGAGATTGGGAAATTAGATTGGGAAATTAGATTGAGACATAAATAAAATCCTGACGAAAGAGCTGAAATTTTACTTAAACAAAAGCTTAACCGAACCAATCTCTAGACGAGTGCAGTGGGGACTGATTTCGTAATATTAGATGTAATAAAGAGAAATTTTTCCAGTTCAATGACAGTGACCAAAAAGTTGTAAATTTTGGAAATTTCCGTGGCCTTAAAACGAATTAGTTAGAAAACAAATGACGAACAATTTATTAAGTTTAACATATGCAGGCCTGGGAGTGCCATTTCCCTTCTGAAAAAGTGAGTTGAAATACAGAAAAAGTGAGTGCAATACAGGTAGCCCTCGGTTTACGCCGATTCATAATAATGCCGCTGCGCAATTTGCCATTTCGCGGTGTAATTCCCCGATTTTCCCTATGCTAGACTGATTTTCATTTCAGTTTAGACGTATTTACCGAGCCGCGACATTGTATATTCGTTAAAACAAA